ATCAACACATTCATTTTTAGGCGTATGAATGACTCGATTGCCATCGTATGTAAATTTTCAGCATATGATTCTATATTTGGAAAAAAACATAATGTATTAAAGTTTTTAAAGATTTTATTTCATCCTCAAATTGTACAATTATATTGCTTGGAAGTTGAATGCAATTACAAGAATGTTGTTGCTCTGTTTTGTTTCCAATTCTTAACAAGTAATCACAAAAAGTAGGATCAAATTTTGCCCTCATGTTTTTAACTAATGGTAGATGTAATAATAGGGGTCATAGATCAAAAAAGATTAAGCTAACTTTAATTATGTCTTCTTTTTTCTCTCTAATTTAATTTAATTGTCAATTACTAAACTTTTGGTAATTTAATTTTATAAATGTTAGAATACATAGTTTATATTTTTAAAAATCTAATTAGCACCTAATTTTTGAAAATAAATTTTAATCACATGATTAATAATAATCAAACTTAAAATACGTGGTTTTGCCCTCAGTTTGACGACCATTAAAACAAAACTTTTTTTCTCTTCAGACTTATTTTCAACTATATATTCTTACAACGAGATATTTTGCATGTAAACTTAGCACCTGTTCGGCATCTATTATTTCACATTATAATAAGAAAAATAGTAATTTTTTGAAGAGTGTATGATTAAAAAGAAGGAATTTTTTTTTGAATATATGTGTAATGTTATTTTATTGAAGAATGTTTGATTAATAAGAAGAAAGTGAAAAATTGATTATAATTTAATGGGAGTCAAATGAAGGCTTAATTTATTTCTTATTTTGTAGCCACATATTCCCGGTTAAATCACAACGTCAAAACTTATAGAACACATGTTACACATCTATAGACCCCAAGTCATCTGGTCAATTCCAAACTTATATATAGAACATTGATTTTCAAAACCTTTCAATGAAATTTCTCTTCTATGCCAATTCCAAACATGAAAAACATGTCTATAGTCCCCAAGTCGACTGGTCAATCCACATGGCCATATAATTTAAAGCCACCGATAGAGACGAGATCCTCGCTACAACTTCGCTTGCACCTTCAGTATTCACAACTGTGTCAAAATGAGAATTCTTTTCTCACCATTGTTTTTCTTGATCTCTATATTCTTTAATTTCCGCAACCCTAATTTGGCTCCTGTGTATAACCAATTCCTGGAGGATCATATAGTCTTGTTACATAAAATGAAAGATAACTTTATGTTAGATTCTTCCTTGTCAACTAAACTGGTTTCTGGACAATGACTTAATGATCAACGGTCATTCTTGATTCAATTCAAGAACAGTATCATATTCGACCCGACAATTTCTGTCAAACTCGTGACCTGGAATCGGTCGGAGGATTGTTGCACCTGGAAGGGGATTGCTTGCGAGAGTTCAGGGCATGTGATAAGTTTGGAACTGGATCACGAATTGGAATTGAGAATTCAACTAGTCTTCTTGGTTACCTTGAGAAGCTGAATTTGGCTTACAACGGATTGTATAACATTCAGATTCCGAAGGGGTTTTATAATCTTGCGAATTTGACATAATTGAACTTATCAAATGCAGGTTTTGTTGGACAGATTCCAATTGAGGTTTCGAGGATGACAAGGTTGGTTACTCTTGATCTGTCCACTATTTCCTTTGGAACTCAGCCAATGAAACTTGAGAATCCCAATCTGAAAACGCTTGTTCAGAACCTTAAATGGAGAACTTTATCTTGTTATCTGTTATCTGTTAAATTCATTTCAGTTCAATATAGTGCTAAACACTGGCGGACCTACAGTAGGTCCTGGTGGGTAACATGACCCAACGACTTTTAAGCTTTTTATTTTTTGAATCACAAAATCAGATTTAGCATTTAGGCATTTAGAGGCAGACAGAGACACTCCTGTTGCAAAACTTCAGCAAAATCAATTTGAAGAAACCTTGGAAAACTCTGCTGCATAAGTTATAACCCCCCAGCCTGAAGAAGACTAACTGATTAAACACAAAATTGTTCATCATATTCCAGATTTCAGATGAAGAGAATGTCCTAAAATGGCAGCTATATTTACCAACATCCATAGAAGATTGTAAAGAAAATAAATTTATACAGATGCATCCAAGTCTAGAAGAAGAAAGAAGAATCCAATTTCATAAAAAATACAGTCATAATGAAATTATCCAGAAGTTTACTGTTCTTAATCAATCACCACATGAGAACCTTTTAGAAGTGCAGCCAACCGATATTGTTATCTACAAATATAGTTGATGTATGTAGCGTATGTATGGAAGACAGAGTTTGTGAAAGGGAAGATACAGAGAGACACAAGGACAAGGTATGTGAGATAGAATGAGTGGAGAAAATATAGGTGGGGGCGTGAGTGTATTTTTGTGGTTGGCCAAGGTGCTTGCCTAAGTAAATTAATATAAGTAGTTTGGCTGTATTATCTTATCCAATTAAATTGTGTAAATTATTTTACTCGATAATTAAATAATTTTATTTATTATTTAAACTCAATACAGCTTGCAAATTGAGTCGGATTTCATTCCTCATCTCCAACCCCGAACAAATAGCGTTCCTCTAATTCAAAATGTCTGCATGTACCACTGGTGCCAAACATATTGTTAGTGGTTGAGTGACAATATACAAGAAGAGAGCAAAACGAACAACATAATGTTCCAATTTGATAAATTTTGTTTGCGTTCTCATAATATATGTATACCAACAAGTAGAGGTAAAGAGAAGGAAGATTTACGCAGTCAAGATAGCTTAGGGTTCGTTTGACAAGATTTTTGAAAATTTAAAAACTATTTCTACGACTGAGAAACTACTTTTGAATAAGTTAGGATAATTTTCTAAAAATACTTTGTCTGACTTAAAAGAGTTTTTGAGGAATCTAACTTTTCTATAAGAAATAAAAGTAAATGTAAAAGCAAAAGCAAAAGTTGTATCAAATGGACTCTTCGTAGACTTATAGACTCCAATCAGTAGAACATATTAGAAGGCAAAGCATTTAGCTAGCCTAAATACCTTATTGAATCTAAGACACAAATTTATTTACTTGTATTATATATTCAACGTAGCAATACATTTTGAAAATAAAACGTCAAGTCATGATTTATGTAGAATAACTTCTTTAGAATTGATCTCATGTTCCCATTGAGCAAGATTAAATGTTTTCACTGCTCAAGTAAACGATCATAAATTCAAAAAATCATAATTAAGGTTCTTTTGTCATCATGACAACGGTAGAAAAATTTTATTCAAGTCATTGGGGACAAGAGATCAAGATCGATGACTCCTTTAATTCATCGAGGCAATTGATTGTGGGAGAAGACCCGAAAGTGAAGACAATTAGGGAGACTTCAACTTTAGAAGCACGAGTCAACACGCAAACTCAGTGTTAAGCCGGGTTGGTTTGGTATGTAAATGTGGGTCTGGATTTTTATGTTGTATTGAGAATAATTGGCCTTTGGTATGGCAATTGGAACGTATGTTCCACTCACTTTTAATCCACTCTTTTTATTTCTCTACTTTCCTCTCGGAATCTTTTCGTTCAGCTATGTAGCTACAGCGTGTGACAGACCCTCATTGCTTGGTGCTGTAATTATATTCATTCCATTGATAGTGTCAGTCAGACTGCCAGCGATAATGATAGTTCCTTGGGACATTGTACGACGACATAAACGGGAAATTAACAATCAGACACCTTCTGAATACAGCCTTGATGAGGTGAAATATAGTGTATTTACCAGTAAATATGGCATCAAGGAAAGTGCAACAGATTGGATACGGATATCAAAATGAAGGAGCTGCATCAATTTTAACTTCATGTCTCATAAGTGTACTTTTATATTCTTAAGGATCTTGATTGCATCATTTGAAAAGCAAAATAAATGCGGATGTTCATTCATTTTGTTATGGAAGATGAGATCTTTTTCTCCACCCTAAGTTGATATTTCCTTTCTAATTTAGTTGTTATTCTCGTGTACATTTTGGCCCCAAATTTGTAATGATCTGGACATGTGTTTAAATCGTTAACTCATACGTACTATCTGCTTGGAGAAAGTATGAGTTAATTTTATGTTTCACGGATTTCTATTGTGTTCTTATGAAATTTGAACTCAATACCTAATAAAATTTTATGATAAATTTAAATTGAATTCTGTTACTAATTGAGCAACGTAACCTACAATCGAATTCAATAAATTAGTATTCTTTATGATTTGAAGTTCCCTTCAACTGAATACTAATTACTTCTTTCTACTTCCAATTCTCCACAATAATGAAGTCTTCCAAAAATTTATGGGGTGGAGTCAACGACCTCGAATTTGGCCGAAAGTTTTGTATTTGTAAATAGATAAAGAGAGAAAATAATCTGTGGAGAGAGAGAGAGAGAGAGAGAGAGAGAGAGTTCAGCTGTGATATTTACAATTGGGCCTGAGGACGTAGAGGGCAAGGGTAATATTTATCCTTATTTAGTTACTTTTAATTTAAGGGTTAATTACTCTACTTTCGATAATTTAATTTCATAAATATTAGAATATATATTTTATGTTTTCAAAAACCCAATTAGCACCTGATTTCTGAAAATAAATTTTAATGACGTGATTAATAATAATCAAATTTAAAATACATGCTTTTGCCCTCTGTTTGGCAACCATTAAAATAAAACTTGTTTGTTTATCCTCAAACTCATTTTCAATTATGTATTCTCACAATGAAATATTTCGTACGTAAACTTAAACTTTTTTTTTTTACTTTTAAACTCACATATTCCTCATTAAATCACTATTTCAAAACTTATGAAACACATCTATAGACCCCAAGTCCGCTCGCCAATTCCAAATTTATAGAGCATTGATTTTCAAAACCTTTCAGTGAAGTCTCTCTCCTATGCCAATTTCAAACTTGTAGAACACGTCTATAGGCCCCAGGTCAACTGGTCAATCCACTTGGCCATATAATTTAAAGCCACCCATACAGAGGAGATCCTCACTACAACTTCACTAGCACCTTCAGTATTCACATCTGAATCAAAATGAGAATTCTATTCTCACCATTGTTTTTCTTGATCTCTGTATTCTTTAGTTTCGGCAATCCCAATTTGGCTCCTGTACACAGCCAATTCCTGGAGGATCAGAAAGTCTTGTTACATAAAATGAAAGATGACTTTAAGTTAAATTCTTCCTTGACAACTAAACTGGTTTCTGGACAATGTCTCGATGATCAACGGTCATTATTGATTCAATTCAAGAACAGCATCATCTTCGACCCGACACTTTCTGTCAAACTGGTGACATGGAATCGGTCGGAGGATTGTTGCACCTGGAAGGGGATTGCCTGCGATAGTTCAGGGCATGTGATCAGTTTGGAGCTGGATCAAGAATCGATTTCGGGTGGGATTGAGAATTCAACTAGTCTTCTTGGTTTCCAGTATCTTGAGAAGCTGAATTTGGCTTACAACAGATTGTATGACATTCAGATTCCGAAGGGGATTTATAATCTTGCGAATTTGACGTACTTGAACTTATCAAATGCAGGTTTTGTTGGACAGATTCCAATTGAGGTTTCGAGGATGACAAGGTTGGTTACTCTTGATCTGTCCACTTTTCGCCATTTGTCTCAGCCAAAGAAACTCGAGAATCCGAATCTGAAAACGCTTGTTCAGAACCTTAAAGAGCTTCGAGAACTTTATCTTGATGGTGTTAATATTTCAGCTCCAGGGAGTGAATGGTGCCAGGCCTTGTCTTCGTCTTTACCAAATCTAAGCTATTTGAGCCTGTCTAGTTGTCTTCTTTCAGGTCCACTCGATTCTTCCTTATCACAGCTTCAAAATCTTTCATTTCTTCGTCTTGACTATAACAATCTGTCCACTACAATTCCGGACTCCTTTGCAAATTTTTCGAAACTGACCAAGTTGAGCATGCGCTATTGTTTTCTGCAAGGATTCTTTCCCAACAAAATCTTCCAGTTACCCACTTTACAGAATCTGAATTTGAGAAACAATAACTTGCTCAACGGCAATTTGCCACAATTTCCCCGAGGTGGATCTCTTAGAAAAATAATTCTTGGCTACACTAACTTTTCGGGTTCATTGCCTGATTCCATTGGTAACCTCGGCATGTTGTCGTGGATTGATCTGATGGATTGCAATTTCAGTGGACTACTTCCACCCACGATAACAAATCTCACCGAAGTAGTTTATTTGGACTTCTCGGGGAATAAACTCACTGGTTTACTCCCACTTTTCAATATGTCCAAGAAACTTACCCATATAGACCTCTCTGGTAATGGTCTCACCGGATCACTTTCTTCCATGCATTTTGAGGGACTTAATGATCTTGTGATTTTGGACTTAAGTTACAATTCACTCAATGGGAGCATCCCCCCTGCTCTGTTTGCTCTCCCTTCACTGCAGAAACTCAATTTGTCTAACAATCAATTTGGTGGCCAAGTCAATGAACCTTCGAATACGTCCTCATCCCAATTGGATACACTCGATTTGAGTAGTAATCTCCTAGAAGGGCCCATTCCCAAATTTTTCTTTGAACTTCGAGAGCTTAAAATTCTCTCACTTGATTCCAACTTCTTTAACGGCACTGTACAGATGGATCACAATCGCTTGTCAGTCAATGCAAGCATCAGTTCTTCGAGCTCATATCCGTTTGCACAGCTGGAAATGTTAATCTTAGCATCCTGCAATCTAAAAAGTTTTCCTGACCTGAGGAACCAATCAACTCTGTACTTTATAGACCTTTCAGACAACCAAATTATGGGGGAAATTCCTAATTGGATTTGGGAAGTTGGAAATGGAAGTATTGCTCTGTTAAATCTTTCTCACAATCTCTTACAAGATCTGCAAAAACCTTACATCATTCCAAGTTTTATTATTCTAGACATTCATAACAACCAGCTCCGAGGTGATCTGCCAATCCTTCCATCCTCAGCTATGTATATAGATTTCTCAAGCAATAATTTCAACCACTATATTCCAGCTGATATAGGCAAAAATGTTTCGGAAGCTTCATTCTTTTCTCTTTCAAATAATAATCTAATGGGAGCTATACCTGAATCCATATGCAATTCTAGTTACCTTCGAATCCTTGATCTGTCGAACAATTTTTTGAGCGGTACAATACCAAAATGTCTACTATCAAGTCAGACTCTTGGCGTACTGAACCTAGGAAGAAACAATCTCAGCGGAACCATTCCTGATGCATTTTCTCGCCGTTGTGGTCTAAGAACTCTAGACCTCAGTAGGAACAGTTTAACAGGGAAGATTCCAGGATCTCTGAGCCATTGCAAATTGTTAGAAGTTTTAAATGTTGGAAACAACAAAGTTGAAGGCATCTTCCCATGCATGTTGAAAAATTCATCCAGCTTGCGTGTGCTGGTTCTGCGATCCAACAGATTCCACGGTGAACTTCAATGTCCTGGGACCAATAACAGTTGGCCAAATCTTCAAATCATTGACATAGCTTTTAACAATTTCCGCGGGTATCTGTCCCCAAGATTCTTCTTAGGGTGGAGAGGAATGATGCTTGACAATGATGTCCTACTCACGTGCAACCTCCTGACAATCGATTTCAACCTTTTCAACCACCTGACATTCGATTTCAACCTCCTGACATTCTATTTTACGGATGGGTTGGACGTTTACTATCAGGTGACCGTGACAGTAACCATTAAAGGGTTAGAACTGAAGCTTGTGAAAATTCCAACGGCTTTTACAACCATTGATTTGTCAAGCAATAATTTTCGAGGAGAGATTCCAGATACTGTTGGGGATCTATGTTCACTTTACGCTCTCAACTTATCACATAATGCTCTCATTGGCCAAATCCCAAAATCCATGGGGAAGCTGGCACAGCTTGAATCGTTAGACCTTTCAAAGAACCAACTAAATGGAGAGATACCAAAAGAGCTCACAAGTCTAACATTCCTGTCTTTGTTGAATCTGTCCTACAACAAATTGGTTGGAAGTATCCCTCCAGGTCGTCAATTCCAAACATATTCGTCAGCCTCCTTTGAAGGAAATACGGGACTGTGCGGATTTCCTTTGAACATAAGTTGTGGGGGCATTTCACCCCCAAGTTTTGAGGACAAGCAGCTCTACAATTTGAAGACTAATAAGATTAACTGGGATTATGTAAGTGCTGCACTGGGATACAGTGTGGGATTTGTATTGACTGTGTGGTTACTTTGGTTGGTTTTGTGACTTTGTTCTATTTAAAAGCATGTACTATTAAAAAAAAAAATTGAGTTGTTGGATCATTTATAATCGATGATTAATAAATTATAGGGACACACAGAGACAACTTTGAAGTATCTGAGTACTAGAGACATTTACAGGTTTCAAAAATTATAGAAACGCCCTTTAATGATTGTCCTGCACAACAAATTCTTCCTTATACTATGTTAAGGCTTTTCCAGGGCAGAATATGTATTTAATACCAAAAGTGGACTAATGAAAAGAAAGGGTAAAATAATTTCATCTTCTGCTAGGGGAAAGATTTCCCTAAATTTATTAATTCAAATTCGATTCCAACATATTTTGAAATCTATGTATTAACAGTTTTAGTTTTTTTTTTTTTTTTGGAAAGATATCCTCCCGAATAAGTTTGAGAGAATGACACGTGTAATAGAGAAGGTAAAAGACTAGAGAATACATTATGAAATCAAGCCCCTTGCTAAAATCTTGCTTAGTTTGCTCCCATCTTTTACTTGTCTTGTAAGAGAGAAGGACCAAGATCTATTGGTAGTTTGATCACGCCAAATTTTGAGGTCAATATTGAGAAATAAACGAATCCATAATACATCCCATTCTTTAGACAAGTAGGTCAAAAAAGAACATGGATGACATGTTTAGTATGACATATTAAACAAAATTGTATCAAATTATTAATTGTAGGTATTTTTGTCTCGTCATACGAATCTAATTCACCCCCAAAACAAAGTGTCCTAAAGACTGAATAGTTCATAAGGAGTTCAATAAATAACTCAGTCAATGATGGAGAACATAATGTCTAATAAACAAAAATGGCAACACAACGATTGTCTCATAAAGAGGAAGGTTTAGAGGTTAAAGGTAAGTATAAACATGCATTTTTATGATTTCTCACATCTCCATTTCTATTCAATTCGTGACTTGATGGTTGATGTGGCATCTTACATTTCTTAATTTATGAGAATTTGTGGTAGTCAAACCGAAAAATAGATCAACATCTTTGTCTTTCAAGAACCATACTAAACCACCCATCTAAAAGTTTGAACTATAGTAATAGGAGAAATCAATTAATTTTATTTTATCTTGAACACGCCTTTTTACATAGTCAAGCCTTTGCAGTTATAGGAAATGAATGACGGTAATATTTAAGCACATGATATTTGCTTTGTACTATATTAAATAACTCCATCTAAAAGCTTAAGTCGCTGCGATAAAACTAATTATTTATTTAAATTTATGGTCAACACACTTGGCTTACTAGCACGTTAAATTCATTTCTCCATCAAAGTTTTGACAAACATAATTTTCACAAACATGTGTCCGTGAGATTGAACGCAAAGCATTTAGCTAACCTAAATACTTTATTGAATCTAAGACACAAATTAGCAATGCATTTGGAAAAGAAAACAATAAGTCATGAATCACGTAGAATAACTTATTTATAATTGATTTCATGTCCCCCGAACACAATAAAAACTTTTCACTATTGACGTCGTAAGATAACTTTAGCCATAATTCTTTGAAACGGTGCTAAATTCAAAGAATCATAACTAAGATTCTCTTTTCATGTCAGAGATGAGAAATTTATATTCTAGTCAGAAGGAGATCAGATTGATAACTCGTGTAATTCATCGAGAAAATTGTTTGCGGGTGAAGACCCGAATGTGAAGACAATTAGGAAGACTACAACTTTAGAAGCCCTAGTCAACACGCAAACTCAGAGAATCAAGTTGGGTTGGTTTGGGAATAAACGTGGAACTGGATTTTGATGTTGTATTGAAAATCAAACAAAGTGCCCAATGAACAACAAAATGCAATATTCATGTTTTTACTAATTAATTTTATTTCCTTTCGACAATTAGTCAAACCAATTTTTATTGTAAAAGAAAAGCGTAACATTAGTGTTAGACTACCAACTTTTTTTGGCGTTTGATTAGGTACATTATATTTATGTTTTGTTTGGTAGTATTTAGTAAACATTATTAATAAAGAAACATAAATTAAAATTTTGTTATCTGTTAAATTCAATTCAATATAGTGCCAAACTATTGTTAGAGAGTGAAATGAACAACAAGGGCATTGATAACAGTAATGTTGCAATTTGATAAATTTTGTTTGCGATTTCCTAATTTATGTGCCAACATGTAGAGGTAAAGAGACGGAAGATATTTACGCGGTCAAGATAGCTTAGGGTTCGATTGACAAGACTTTCGAAAAGTCAAAAACTACTTTTGAGACTAAGAAAGTATCTTTAAATATGTTTGAATAATTTTCTAAAAATAGATTGTCTTACTTAAAAAGTTTTTAGAGGAATCTAACTTTTTTACAAAAAACAAAGGTAAAAGCAAAAGTACTATCTAACGGACTTTTAGTAGACTTGTAGACTCCAATTAGTAGAACATATTAGACTAAAATTATTATATATATTTTTATGATTTTCTAATATCTAGTTGTTTTAATTTAATTGACCTAGAAATTAACTTTATTGAGGCAAGGAAACAAATAGTATAGTCAACCTCAAATTATTGAAATATGAAGAATCGTGTTACAAACGCTCCCAAAAGAATTTTCATATCTGATTTTTTGATAGAGGGGGAAAAAAGTCGGCAAGAATTGAAACATATTATTTGGTAACAATATCATGGAGAACATCAATTGCAAAAAATAATTAACATGGATATCTATATACAACTTAGATATAAAATTTTACATATATATATTTTTTTCCAGTTTGTTAACTTTTAATAACCTGTGACACGATCATATAACATATCGAAACCCAAAATCATATCGCCATAATCCAACATATATATTCTGAGCTTATAAACATGTCTACAGGCCATTTCAAAAGTACACTATATAGGATTCCAAAATATAACCCAATAGATAGCAGCCTACAAAATAATCCTACAGGTCGTCATCCATGTACATCGAACTCTAGAATCCTGTAGGAGCTCCATAGCTAGTCATGCTCTTTATGTAGTTCCATGCTCACCTACAATGCAAGAACTACATAAGCCAATGCTTAGTAAGCAAGAATGATGCATGTCATGAGTATGAGTAACAAGGATATGTGACACCATGTCATTTACTTTAAACATCATGCTAAAGATGTATCATATTCCAATATTCATCAAAGTCGACTCGAAATTATTTCATTTGAAATCTTTCATTTCATTGGGCCCTTGACCCACCAACTATGCATCGGATAGAGCTCTGCATAGTATCAATATCAATAATCAAGTGGCCAATATGAAATCGACACCGGCGAGTGGACCATCCTCTCATGACTGCTAGAGGCCCATCCCCTAACTACCCCTATGATCACCCAAGAAGTCTCCCACCCGGCAGCGCCAATAATCATAACAAGGGCATAGTCGAGTGGTCCGCCCTCCCGTGATCACCAAAGGCCCATCCCCTGTCTACCTTTGCAATCACCCAGGAAGTATCACCCGCGATGCCAAACATATCACATAAGCATGCCTCACATGCCTCGGTGCCCTAGTAGTGGTCAATAAAACATTTATAAAGAAAACTTACTTTGAAATCATGTTTCACATGCAAAGTTTTCAACCATGATCATATGTTGTGCATGCCAACGAAAATGCTCATGAATGACATGCTTAATAGAAGTTGATGTCAATGTATTTTGCAACCGCATACTCAATGATCATAATCATCATATAGGGTACAACGAGCTTTCTTATCAAAGTATGAAAATATCCTAACATCACTATACCACAAATGCTAGGTTGTTGCATCGTAGTTACAAATGGATTTTTACTTACCAAACTAATCTTCAACATCTAGTTAACCTAATTTTCTATCATAGCTCAATGTGAAATTCACTACTTAGGTCAAGGAGTCAAAGATCATCACTATATAAAGATTTTAAAGCCTCGATGATCAAACACACATTTTTAAGAGAAAGTAATTAGGAAGTTGATGCAAATGACAATGTAATTAGCATGGAATGCATGAATCATATTGGCCAAATGTAGAACGTGAAGTTCGGGGTATTACATCAGGATATATGACACCATGTCATTTATTTTAAATATCATGCTAAAGATGCATCATATTCCAATATTCATCAAAGTCGACTCGAAATTATTTCATTTGAAATCTTTCATTTTATTGGGCCCTTGACCCACCAACTATGCACTGGATAGAGCTTTGCATAATATCAATATCAATAATCAAATGGTCAATATGAAATCGACACCGACGAGTGGACCATCCTCTCGTGACCATTAGAGGCCCATCCCCTAACTACCCCTATGATCACCCAAGAAGTCTCCCACCCGGCAGCGCCAATAATCATAATATCACAAGGGCACAGTCGAGTGGTCCGCCCTCCCGTGATCACCAAAGGCCCATCCCCTGTCTACCTTTACAATCACCCAAGAAGTAACACTCGCAATGTCAAACATATCACATAAGCATGCCTCACATGCCTCGGTGCCCTAGTAGTGGTCAATAAAACATTTATAATGAAACTCACTTTAAAATCATGTTTTGCATGCAGGATTTTCAACGATGTCACATGTTGTGCATGCATATGAAAATGCTCATAAATGACGTATTTAATGAAAATTGATGTCAATAGGTTACGCAACCTCATACTCAATAATCGTAACCACCATATGATGTGTTATAAGCCTCTTATCAAAGTTATGTAGATATTTCAACATTACTATGTCACATATACTAGGTTCTTGTATCGTTGTTGCAAATTGATTTTCACTTACCTTTTTGCCCTTGTGTGTGCACAAGCTCCTACGGAGATTATATCACTTTCCTTTTTCACTCAACGTCGGAAAATCACCTGTATTACCATTTAATATTAAAGACAATCCTCCATTTAATAGCCTTAACACACACAAAATCCCAAAATACTTCCATTCACATCAAAATAATTTAAACGAATTCATTATTCAAGTTACTAACGGCATTACAATCTCGTCCCATAAGTCTCATTTTTCCTCGAGTCCAATTACCAACATCAACGTCATCCAATTGTTGTCAACAACCTAATACTCCTTAGAATTTATTTTCTAGGCCCAAGAGATAATTAATTTACATGTAAAGGTTGAAATCATATTAAACACATAAATGGACAGAACCTTTTTTTCAGGTTTCATCACCG